GGAGAAGAGAGACATTTTTATAAAAATTAGGATGTGGACAAAACTAAATGTGTGTGTTTGGGTAGTGAATCTGGTACATTCACACCCTAAGCTACCACCTATATCCACATCTTCAAGTCTATTTAGCATTGCTAAAAAATCAATTTGATTGTTGACTCTGAACGTTTTTCGCCATTAACGAGAGTGTTCATCGATTGATGATTAAGCGCGCTTGTTTATTTTTGATTAATGAAAAGAAAGTAAAGATATAATTAAAGAGAAATAAAACTTTTTGTGATCGAAAAGTTCTTTCTTAGAAACGAAAGTGATACAATAAATGATAAAATATCACTTTCCAGATTAACGGCATCCGCAACCGGAAGGCATTTGGCAGCGTGACATATCACCTTTAATAGCACCACTGCCCAGGCATATTTTGTATGTCATACAAGGCGTATAACATCCCCAACCCTTGTCCTGAAGGGGATTTGCATTAGCAACCAAAAATATTGCCATCATTACAACCAGAATCACAATGAATTTGTTCATGATGTGGATCGTTCGATATACTAGGTATAATCATATATTTAATTTGTCGTTAAGAAATAAAAAAAACTCACAATAAATTGAATAATATCAAAGTAAGATCGGATGAATTATGTTAGAATATTATCGCTCAAATTTGATTGAAGGTATAAAACCATTTAAACAGTCTCATATTTATACATATATTTATTAGATAGAAAAAAAATTAACCAAAAATAGTTTATGCTAAATTATTCTGCATAATCATCAAATAAATTTATTAATTCATCATACAATAATTGGTCTTTGGTTTAAAAAAATTCAAGAGCCACTCGAATCGTATATATGTTTGTGCGGATAATATACATATATACGCTCTTGAAAATTTAATAATAATATGAGTGATATATGGGAAGCGAGTTCATAGTTGATTAGGCTTTAGAGATTATACAATCCTATATTAAATATTAAAGTAATAAGAGTTACTTCAAAATTATATTATATGCGTACTTCTTTTTCATACTGCATCATTAGAGAAAAACATACGACTGTTAATCAAATGAAATAATATTTATTCGTTGACGATATATGTATGAAATTTCTATAAGCTGTAGTTCTCAGAACTAATCCTCGTTTAGAGAGCGTTCAATAATCCTAATTTGAAAATCTGGTGACCAAACGAATACTTTTTAACTTAAGATGTATTATATAGAGTGTTATTCAACAGAATCCTGCAGTTTACCCTGCAGTATAGGAATAAACACACAATTTTCTATCGTGACCTCTACGTTAATGTAGTTTCGTTCAATATTCTGATGAGTAGAAAGTAATTTTTGACTCAATATTCCAGTACGTAACGAGTAAAACAACTACTTTTGAAGGCTGTGTGCTTGCAGCAATATTATTAGTAAAGAGATACTAGACTTGCAAATAAAATTCAACTATATAAATACCACATGGTCAAAGGACGGGAGCATGTAATAAATGGAAAATGAGCGTTTAAAGGTTCATCGAAAATTCACTTGTAACTGTTTCTAGCAAAGAGTAAAATTGAATGTGAGTGAGGATATTGTTAAAAATTATTGATTCTTAATATGAGTGAATTGCAACTTTTTGGTACAATTGATGCGAAAAAATGAAAGTAGACCTAGACAATTTCTGATCAGTGCATTTTATTAGACTCTATGCCTGTGCTACACAGTAAAAATTTCCCAACACTTTACCGCATATTAGCTGAGATATGACTTACTCAATGTAAATGTACCATAAAAAACGTTATTTTATTGAAAAACGTCACTCTACATTTTTCAGTATAATGTAAATTTCTCGAGAAGGGTACGAGATCCAAGGCTGAATTTTTTACCACTAATAGAACTTTTTGTTTTATATATTCTCTGAAAATTTCAACTAAATCTGATGACCCGTTCACGAGTTATAAATCAGACAATCTTCAAAAACAACGTCACTCTACATTTTTTTCCAGTATAATGTAAATTTCTCGTGAACGGTACGAGATCAAAGGCTGAAATTTTTACCACTAATAGAACTTTTTGTTTTATATATTCTCTAAAAATTTCAACTAAATCTGATGACCCGTTCGAGAGTTATAAAGCAGACAATTTGCAAAAATCGTCACTCTACATAATTTTCGAAAAAAACGTCACTCTACATTTTTCAGTATAATGTAAATTTCTCTTGAACGGTAAGAGATCAAAGGCTGAAATTTTTACCACTAATAGAACTTTTTGTTTTACACATTCTCTAAAAATTTGAGCTCAATCTAACGACCCGTTCGCGAGTTATGAATCAGACAATTTTCAAATTGTCACTCTACAAAGTGAGTAAAAATCTTTTTTTTTTTCGAAAGTTCGTTTTTTTTGTTTGAAATAAACTTGATAAGAGAGAACCTTTTTACATCAGTTTTCTAGTTAAAGTGTTGGCTTTCTTTTTATATCATCCGCGCGCTGCCAGCTCTATCATAGGCTGAGCTAGAACTGTGTTTGTGTCACTCTACATAAAAACGAACAAGTGTCTGTTAAACAATGCGACCAGTAGATGAACGAATCAATGAAAATTCAGACTAAAATTAGTTACATATTTCGATAGAGCGTCAAAAACTGTACAAAATAGGTTAATTATATCCTTTTCCTCTTGCCTCTTTATAGTCGAAAAATTTCCTTTTCTTAGCATATGTCATGAAAAAATGACATTTTTTCATCATAAATTTTTTATAACTCAGCAATAACATGAGCTACTGAGCTGAAATTTTGCACCGCAGTGAGGTGTTTCAAGCACTATAACATATCAAAAAATCGTTGAAATCGGCTGGCGCAAACTCGAGTTATTAGCGAAATACATCAAAAATCTAATTGTACCAAAAAGTTGCAATTCACTCATATATATATGTGGAAATACATAAACTTTCTATGTGAATGTGACAATAAAACTTATTCAATTAATTTTTCATCTAGTTCTAATAAAAAAAAAGAAATTTGTAGTTTACAAGTAATAGTGCCATATGATCAGTTGTTTGTCTGATGATTAGTAATAATGAACGGAAGTTCTAGAAGAATATCTGTAGAAGGCTCACCAAGATCAACTTTCAATTGAAGTATGTGACTTATGCTAACTGATTGATTTTTATCTTTCGAAAGATAATAATGTGTAAAAGTGGGTAGAGTTGTGTTGGGTACATGCATTTGGTAGTTTTTGCGAAAGTTTATGTCTCGAAAGTGATCGGTGATTTCCAGATCTCGTTCAAACATACGTGTTTTTCTATTTGCATAGTGAGGAAGAAAGTCGATATGTTGTAAAACATTCATCGTTGTTAAACGTATCAGATAATCCTGTCGGTTATGTATATCGACGGTAAATGAAAAGTTGTTTCCAATGTTGACGACATTCTTGTGAAGAATGAGTTGAACACGAACACCATTGCGATTTGTCTCTTCTACTTCGAGTTGTGTCGAATTGACAGGCAGCGATGCATGTTTGATAATAACAGGAAATTCCTTTTGAATATTCCGTCTGTACCATTGAGATCTGGTAAATACAATACGAATGAAGTAATAAATATACAGTATATTGTGTCGTTTTGCTCCAGCTGAGGACGGTAAGGAATTTTCAAGAGGGAAATGAAATGGCCAACTATGATTGCTATATGATGGAAGAGAAATACGTTTGTTATTATAAGAGTTTACAATGTGTACTTTATTCAAAATATTCATGCGATAGAGAGTTGCCGCCTGTTTGTAGGCTCCAGTGTAGTGTGAGTAGAAAACCTTACCAATGAGTTGTATTTCAATACGCTTCAATTTCAAGCTGCCGAAATTATTGGAAAAATCAATCGTACCTGAAATGTTTTCACCTGTCAAAAATATATTTTGATCTTTTCCAGGAAATCGACATTTGATCCTTGATTTTAATCCACCACTACTTAATCCTATTAATAACAACATAAGAAACTAATATTGACGAATAACATTCGGAAATAAATAGAACATATTGGAATTGAAATAAGACAACCAATGTTTACTTTTCGTAAGTTTTAACTGTCGTACAATAGAAAGAAAATTGTAAAATGATAGATTCCTTCTATTGATAAATTAAATTATTGATAGGGAAAAGGTCGGTGGTTTCATATTTCAACTAATAAAAAATAAATTGGATGCAATCTGATATTTTCGTACAATCACGCTTAAGGTTAATACGATCTATACTACTACAAAACTACCACATTTCAAATGAACAGATCATGTTGAAATAATTTTGTTCTACGTGCTCATGTTTTCACGATAACATTCTGAAAAGTAACTTTTTTACTTAAATCGAATGAATATTCACAGCGAGATCAATCGAAGCTGACTATGAAAGAAGTTCTTCCGCAGTGACATTTATATGTTGTAATTAATCAAATGTCAGTTTCGATGACGACTATTGAAGAAATCAATTGAAGAAACATAATACTGGACTCTTTCAGATAGGAACCAATGAATTCTGCTGTAAACAATGGAATTTTAAATTATCCGATGTTTCATCGCTATCATACAAGTTAAATTCAATTTTCGTCATTGTCCATGACAATAAGAACACGAGTAGATGGCTCAAAAGTATTTTTTACTTAATCTGTATAATTCTATCTCACATCGCTATAAAAAAGATGATTATATAGTTACATATCGAGAGAACAAATAGTAAATACGAAGACAATGATACGCAATTTTTATCAGGAAGTATATATTAGTCTAAACCATTTAACACAAATAGCAATGTAAGCTAGAAAACCTGTAACTTATAAGCAGATTATGTTGAAGGTACGGATCTAGATGGATATAATGTACACCTACACCCTCCATGCAGATATTAACATATCACGTCTATTCAATATAACTCAAATGATACTTATATTTATTGATAAAAATATATAACATAGACATACAAAAAGCAGACTCGTTAGCAGGATTAGTGTTAGATATAATCTTTTCATTTCGTCAATTTTATTCATCTCCATCATTTGGACGAAGTCCTCGTACTGTTGTTCCTCCACCAGTTGTTACGCGTGTTGGATTTTGACGTAATATCTTTGTTTGAATCAGTTGTAATAATTCTCGTCGAAATATTTCCGATGATGTAGCAAAATTAGCAAATGTTAATGAAAATCCAAGATAAATCAAAACATATGTCATATTACTCGCAAATGCTTCAATTGTAGTACGAAGTGATGATTTTGGTGTATTTATCGTAAATGCACTATAAACAAGGTAACATGGATTGGGTAAATTTAGAACGATGAAAAGAGTAATTTGATGTGCCAACATTTTATGAAGTTGAGCATCTTTCTTTGACATTTTACTACCTTGAGCGGGTCGATTTTCATTAGTTCCTCCACCTGGTCCAATTCTTTGTTTAGTTTTATGAATATTCTTAACAGTTAATAGACCAAAAACAAGCATTAAAAATAATGGAAGAATACCGCTATCAATAGCAATGTAAGTACTAAAAAATACTCCATAAGCTCCTGAGCGATACTTACAAGAGCCGCTACTAATATCATAGAAAATAAGTACTTGAATATATATGAGACACCAGATAATAGCAGTACCAATCATAAGACGACTGGCAACCTTTGGTGAACTCCATTGTCGACGAACAGCATCACGAGAACTAGCAAAATAACGATCAATTGAAGCCAAAATGATTTGATACCGAGGAACAGCAACAAATATATAAAATAAATAGAATCGAATTTTACAATAATAAAGATTCGTATTGAGTGTTGTAATACTATAACCATAGTGTATCATTCGAGTAACAAGAGCAAAATTAAATGTAAAAAATTGTGCAAAACTCGAAGCAATGAAATACATTGCACAAGGACTTTTATTAAATGTTGGTTGAGAAAAGACGAGACAAGTTAAAGCAGATCCAATGTTACCCATAATCAAAATCAAACCTAAACCAATTTGTGAAATATATTTGTTGAGTGAATTGAAAAGTGAAATTAAATGAGCTTGATTGTCGCTAATGATGATGCTCGTACCATTTATCGTTGTATTTGACATTTTTCTCAACGATCTCTAGAAAGAAAAAGATATGAGAATCCATTAGTATCTGTAAGATGCAAATTAATTTCATTTTTCTTCTCCTTATCATCCGGACAAAATATAAATATACATAATTGTATAAGATATATATCTATTCGAGCAATGCTACTAAGGGATAAGTGTAGATTAAAACTAGATTATAAACATAGAAAATACAGTGGCTTACCCTGATGATTAAATATTTTTTTGATGATGACTTATTTAGTTTAATCTTCCTTTCTTGGATTCTATATTAGAATAGAAACAATCTTTAATGATTTATTTTTTTTGGAATTCATTCAATTCAAAAACAGTTGAATCCTTAATAATGCGTAATAATATAGATTAAAACTTCATCTAGTCATCACTAGATGTTTTGTGATATTATATTAATAAAAAATATTTTGAAAAGAAACACAACATATTCTGATTGTTGTTTCCTTCTCAAATGAGAAAGATTTTCGAACTAAATGAAAAAAAGCGAGTTCTTTTATAAAAATCATTGGATTTTATTATCTTTGATACTTACTTATGAAAGAGAAGTGATAATACGCAGTTTTATTCTTTATTTTGATGAATGGTAGTAGAGAAGATGTAGAAACAAAATAGATAAAAATGAATCAGTTTTCATTAATGATTTCGACTACGGATGTTGGAAAAAAATAATGATGTTTTTTATTATGCATTATAACACAAAGACTTTGCCTGCTGAATCTTTATCGTATTATCTTGAGGATAATGAGTCTGAATGTGCCATGAACAAAACATCCCCTCCTAGCACTATATAGTTCAACAAACAATGGGACAAAAATAATTAACTTCGTTAGAGATATTTCAATAGATGGATTGAAAGAGAAATCATAACAGCTACGACATTACTCTGTTTTTCTTTTTGCACAATTAGATACTCGAACGACGTAATTACATTATGAGTAATAATGGCGAATGACTTGTTTCATTCGAAAAATCTATTCTATCTTCATTCATTATCTGCTGTTTTAATAGAAGATATGAATTAATCGAAAGAATATACCGTAGATCCGTTTCTTTGTGTAAATATATGTTGTAGACATGGAGGGCGAAACGATTTCATTTTCGGGTCGACTCTATTTTTCAAATGAATCACTCCGGACAGCAAATTAGACAAAGATTTTTTAAACTGTGAATCGTTTAGTCTCTCTTGTTGACTTTAGTTATTGTTGAAATTTAATAACTACATGATACTTTATTTTTCAAGAAAAAAACGTGAATTGAGAGTGTAATAAATATAGAAATACTGCTTGAAAATGGTTAAAAAATAGATGAAGAAAAAACGAAACTATTCGTGCTCAAAAAAGTCTCAACTTTGGTTTTTTAGAAAAAACCAGAATGGATGCATTTCAAATCAAGTACATCTAATTCTTCTTTATGTATACTTAGAATTATTACTAGTCTGAGTTTTTTACTTTAAAAAGATATAATCTGGCTTTATTTAGCCGACATTTCTATATAAAGAACTTTGCCGAGAAAATCAACCAAAAAATGTCGAAAATTTTGTTACATTCTTACGCTTTTAATCGAATTTTAATCAGAAATAATCAAAATAATCAAAATTTCCTTAGTTATTACGATGAATTGAGATTAAAATCGATTAGCAGTTCATGCAAAAATTTGATTTTAACTGATTTTTGCCCGATACAAAATGAACAAATTGAAACCCATTTTCATCAATTATACTCAACTTTTTTCATGAACTCTTAATTAATTATAATCGCAATGCATCATAATAATCAAGAAAAATTTAGTTTTTCTAGTTATATCTGATTAAAATCGATTAAAAGCGTGTGATTATAACCGATTTTTGATCCTTTTTTAATGGAGTTTATTCTGGTTTTCACCCTATGTTTTTGCATGGGTTTTATGCAAAAAGAATAATGATATATGAGTATCTAAAATGCGAAACTTATTTTAAACAGAAGTTTAAAACAAACAACTCGATATCGATGCAGACGCCACACCAGCAAAATCTCATAAAAACACGTCAGTAGATACAAGTTGATAGTGGAGAAGGTGTACACTAATCTTTTGACAATAAGACATCTATGAGAGCATGAAAATTAAACTATAGTTGAAAATTTTTCCATAAAATTGAGCCTACTCAGGCCTTTATACGGCTTAGTTTGAGCCTACCTTTCCGCAATCTAGGGTAGACTCGAGCCTATCCAGACCTATTGGGCTCCACCGCTGATGTAAAGATATCTTCATCATAGTGTTATATGCAGACAATCAATTACATTTTAAAGAACTCTAAAAAAATTTTCAATCGATCGATACGATCATCTGTACTGTTATTGAAATTTTTTATATAAGAATGTTATATCTAGCACTTAATATCATATTATCTTTCATATATATTACTTCCACTTACTGAAATGATACATCAGATTTGATTAGCTACAAATTCTCAGGTATAATTTCATTTAATATAAAATAGAAAGTCGGAATTTGTTTACCTAAAAATTATTCACTTGATGAATTGAATTCTTTAAAAATATTTGCAACATAAAATAGACTTTCATCAAAAGGGACAGAGCGAAACTTTATCTACTTTAAAACTTTTTTGTAGTGCACACTTCTGAAGTCTCACCGTTTCCCCCTTCACTTAGTTAATAATGGTGAAATAACAAAAAATAAATATATTAGAATCGCTAAAAGTATTTTATTATTTATTGTAAAGTTAAATTTCAGACATAGGAATTGATGTGTGTTTGTTTGCTATTCGATATATGAATAATTATTTATTGAAAACTGATGAATGAATTTCAATATAAAACTTTAAATAGCAAAGCTTTTTTTTCTCTAAATATAAATATTGTTATAATCTTTTAATTCCATAAGGAATATTTATAATTATAAAAGGATGTTATTCATAAATATATTATCTACGTGTATAATATCAACTTTTGGGGATTAAGTTCTTGTAGATATTTATAATATTTTAATTATATTTTCTATTACTGTCTTTAATAAATTTATATAAAAAAATGAGCCCTAGTGAAACTACTCATCAAGCGAGTACGACTTGTCAGCATGAGTACTCAGATTACTCAAATGAGTACTCATGAAAATTCACGAGTATTCTTACTGACTGAGCACTCGTAGTCGTACTGATCTAGTTGTTGCTTGTTTAACTGTACTCGTAAGTAGTGGTATGAGTACTCGTGAGTACTCATATATTTTTTTGGAAAATAACTCGATAAAACAGTCATGCATTTTCAAATACGAAATATAAAAAAATAAAATAATATGAAAGTAAAGTCTGCACAATATAATTAGATATGAAAACGTATTTTATCTGCTCCTTTTTTTTAATATTATCTGACGACAAAACGACCATATTGTTTCCAGGAGAGAAAAAAGAACATACAATTGGATGTTAATTTTCATGTGTTTATTTTTTTTCTTCAAATAAACGTTTGTATTCTATAGAACAAATTGAAGTTATTTCTTATGTGCTTAGATGTTTTTTCGAAAGAACCGTTTTGTTCAATAAGATTACTCGTCACTATTCGTTAGTTAAAAATAGAAGAAAGCAACGTGACTTGTGTTTATGTACATGTATACAGAAGATATCCAATAGCAATATATGTTGACATAGAAAATAGTCTTATATCGAAATAACGTCATTCTTTTTTTTCAACTATCATTCTCGTCAGTATTATTTGCTTATAATCACGTATTTAATGCTTTCATCTAGTCTTTGATTTATATTCAGATGTTTAATAAACAATTTTATAATTTCGATCAGAAATTTCGATTAAACGCATCAGTTGTAAGTAAAATTCAATAGACACATCCGTTTCATATAGAAACTTTATTTTTTCTATTGATTAGACATTAGCAAATCAAACAAATCCAGTTGAATTTACTAATGAAAGTTATATAAAAATCTAAGTAAGTTTTCTTCTTCTATATATGTATGCATATCTAATTTCTATTGCAATTCTAGGAAATTATTGACATAAATCCTGATCAAATTATAGCTATACCAACACGTTCAACAATGATAATGAGAGAATTGATGAAAAAAGGTAGTCATATTGATGATAAAAATATATCTAGCAAAACATGAAAACTCATTCAAAGGTCAGTATACAACTTTTAAGTTTTGAACTACGGAGTTCATTAAAACTTCTCGTTTTAGAATTTATACAAATGAAATGAAACCAACAAAACGAAAAGAATTATGCAGAATTATCATTAGTACCAACAAATCCAACACCACAACTTGCACAAATATCAGCGATGCCAAGCGAACAAGAGATAACAACATCAATAAGTACTACTAAAAAAAGAAACAACAACGGCAATATCATTAGAACCATCTGAATCATATAAATGAACACTATACAACTCATGTGTGATTTTATATTTTTTGCCATGGTTTTACTAAGCCAAACTAGTTATATTGAAGCAGAGATAATTTAATTTTTTATAATTAGAGGAGATTCTTTTATATATCGTTTTATTTTTTTACTATCTTTTCTTTGTTTTTTAATATCGAATATTGTATGATATTTTATCTTGTTTCTATTACTTATGTCCTTTTTTATGTTAATCTCGTTACTGTTACATGATCAAAAACCAGATTATATCAATAAATTAAAACTAATAAAAATATTCTCGTATATGAAATGTACCAATAGAGTACTAGCAAAATTAGAAACGAGTAGATCCTTATAGTACTGAAATACTCGGCAGTTACATATAAGTACTCGCTAGTAGTACTCGAACACTTAACGTTCACGACGAATACAACATATGAGTACTCAAATATCATAAGTACTCATGAGTTCTCGTGACATTTTCTAGCGTGAGTACTTTTTGTGTACTCCGATATGAGTTCTTTCACTAAGGCGATTATATAGTCGAACAGACCAATTCCTGCAGAAGGTTGTCTATTGACAGCAAAGAGACATTTCCGATATATAAAATGCAAAACTTAAGAGAAACGACAAGAAAATAAATGAAGAAAGTAAAGAAGACACTAATTTTGTCTTTTATGTAAGAAAAAAAGCGATAGAGAAAAATAAATACAAGCCTGCGGAGAACAAATTATGGGATGAAAAAAGACATTTTTTTTCATTCTGTGTAGAAGGTAAGGGTAAGAGCACGTCGCATCAATAACGTTTTCTTTTTTTTTATATAAGCAAGTTGTGCTTTTTTCTTATCTTTTTCATAATTATCTAAACGTATTCAATTCGATATCATATCATATATTTTTAGAATACAAATAAAAATGTTAACTACAAATACAAAGTTAAATATTCCATTAACAAACAAACAAAATTTATCTGAATGTCGAATATGTGGCGCTCCTGCTCAATATACAAATTTTGGTGCTATTTCTTGTTATTCATGTAAAATGTTTTTTAAACGAAATGCTAATATAGGACAAGTTAGTTTTAATTATCTTTTTTTAATTTTTAAGTAAAAATTATTCATTTGATTCAGAAAGCATTTAAATGTAATTTTGGTGGCTATTGTGAAGTAAAACGAGATAATCATCATATGTGTACATCATGTCGACTTAGGAAATGTTTTCAATATGGAATGACTACTGATAAATTTCGACCATCAAGATCAATTAAATCAAAAACAAAATCATTAGTTAAAGTAGAATCACGAAATCAATCAGAAACAGTAAGATAATATAAATTTTCGAAATATTTTTCTTATTTATTTTTGTTAGTTATCCATATTAAATTCTTTAAAACCAGATCATTCATTATTGACTACTAGTCAATGGACACTTCTCTCAAATTTATATAATAGTTATGATGAATCTCAACTTTTATTAATTGGTAAATCTTTAGTAGATACACATAATTCTTTACAACCAATAAATGTAACATATCAAAGACTTGTAGAAAATTTTTCATTATCTATTTATGAAACAACAAGAAAATATCTTCGTTTGAATGATGATATTTGTAAATTATCATTTTCTGATCGTTCCATTGTACTTCGTAATGCTGCAAATAATATATCTGGCATGGTTGGTGCATTTACTATACATCGTTTTGATTTATTTAATCTAGATTCTTTTTTGGAAATTACGTCAGCAATATATGGCCATCGTCCAGCCTCTCTTACTCGATGGACAATGAAATTTATTATCTCAGATACTGTAATATTTAAATTAGCACTTTCATTATTTGCTTTATCAAAAACTGCTTATTTATATTCTCCAAATATTTCAATAGATTCAACAAATTCTTCTACAATATTTCATATTCAAAATAAATATGCCGAAGTCACATGGAAATATCTTAATTATAGATATGGTTGGTATGAAGCTGTCAAACATTTTCATAATATCATACATTGGCTTATGACTTTGACTATGTCTACAATCAATCTACAAAATTTTAGTGTACATGTTGATTATGTTGATTCACTTGTTGAACTAACTGAACTTACATTTATACTAGATGATGTTGAGGAAATAATCGAAACAAAATAGAAGTCAACGATTTTTATGTTATATGTGCTTATTGTTTGTCTTATAGTTGATTTTCTTTGTATTAATTAATTTACTATTATTCATGTCTGAGTTAAACTTTTTTTAAGCAGAGTTTATCTAATAAGAAAATAAGTTATTTGTAACTTCAAGTGAAAAGAATTAATTGACTTAGATTATTATATATGTGTATATAGTGAAAAATAAAATTAATTTTCTTTTTGCATCTTATAATAAAAACATAATCACAGCTTATTGGATCAAATGATAATACTTTTTAACTGTAAATAATCTTCAAACTTTTATAAAAATAATTTGTTGTAAAATTGTATATCAAATCTTTTTACATTAGTGTCCTGCAAACCGGACGGGTACTCGACACCCGGCCCGATACGGTCGCCGCGTCGGTTCAGGCATCTGGCGTAAGAATAAGATTCTGTTCGGGCCCGGGTAAGATTGTATACCCGGACCCGAACCGACAACTAGTGATATCACCAAATTTCTAACATTTCATGCTGGTACTAGTACTAATATGAAAAAAAGGAGTCAAAATAAGTCTGATAATGAATAAACGACCCAATACTCATCGCAATACTTTATAAAGAAAAATTTAGTTTCTTTAAATAGTTTTTTTTTGTTTCGGATAAAAACCTTTCATTATTTTGTTAATTAACATCTTATAATACGAAGGGTGAATGTGAGATAAGAGGAAGATCCACATCCTCAACTAACTCCTGATTCACTTGTTTTTTTACGTAATTTTACATAATATATATTTTTCTTTGTTACTTATGAACGAAATTAAACGTATTATACTTATTGAATGAAATAAAAGTTTAGAAATTTGATCATATTTTGAAAAGTAGCAGGCTGGAGCCGGTTCGGGTGCATTTTAGTCGAGTCGGTTCGGATTCGAGCATGAAAAAATAGCCGGTTCGGTCTCGGGTGCAAAAAGTTGTACCCATACAGGACTCTATTCTACATTAATAAATCATATAAGTCCAAGAAAAAAAAAACAAATTATATATTAAAGAAGATCTATAGGTGAGAACAACATAACGCGAAATAAATGTGATACATTCACGAATGAAACTTTTTCATTTAGATGTCCATAGTAAAAAATATTCGATTATTACATATTCAAAATTTTCAATTGATATGTTGTCTTATAATGTATATCGAAATTCAGGATGATGATCACCAGCGAGTTCTTTTCCACCATATCGTTGAATTTGTTGATTAATCTCTTCGATATTCATTCGTGATCGTTGACGATTAATAAAAGCAAATATAAAACGAAGTATCAATATTAATATTGTTTGTAATATAACAACGCTTAATGCAATTCTATTACCAAGAAAATATTTTCGTTTTTCTTTTTCATTAAAGATTTGTCCTCCTATTGCACTGCCAAATTGTGCGAGAGATACAATTACTGCTGATGCAACTGCACGTCGTGTTAAAGAAGCACTAAATAAAATAAATCATAAATAGAAAATATGAATAAACACTATTACCTACAAATTATTATTAAACCAAGCTATTTTCATGCCAGCATCTGCATAACTACCACACATGACAAGGATTAAACTCATGTATAGAATATTTACATGTTGTTCATCAACAAATAACATTATAAGAAGACCACTTATTGTTAAGAGATTCGCAAAAACAAGATGAATTGATCGTTCAATAAAACTATATCAAATTATATTATTATATAATATATATATTAAATCATCAAATATAATACTTACTAATCGGAACTACGACAAATAACTAATATACTAACAAATGCAGCAATATAAGGTGGAATCGTTAATAGTTGTGTTTGTAAAGGTGTCCAAACACCCATTGAATGAATACGTGAAGGTAAAAATAGAGTCACACCGGCTTGATTAATATTTCCACATATAGAAATAATGGCATACACATATGTTTTCCAATCAGTAAATATAGAGATAACTTGTGACCAAGAAAAGGAATGATGAAGAGATGCACCTGCATCTTGTGTAATACGAGCAATTTGTAGTTGTCGTTGTTTATCAGTTAGGAATCGTGCTTGTTCTGGTGAATCAGGTAAACAAAACCAACAAATTAATGCAAGAATTAGTGTTGGAATACCTTCAATCTAATGTAAATTTAAAATAAAGATGATTTAGTATTTGAAAAATAAACTTTTTATTGTTACAATGAAAATAAGTTGCCATTGACTAAAGTATGTTGATTTAATTTGAAGAATAGCAAAAGCAAGTAAACCATTAGAAGCTCCTGCAAGTGTTGCAAATGATAGAAAAAATCCAAGTCGAAAAGCTTGTTCTTTTCTTTCATACCATAATGATGTGTAATAAACAAGGCCAGGAAAATAACCAGCTTCAAATAGACCGAGTAAAAATCGACATAGAAGAAGAGTACTGGCATTACGTACTGCTGCCGTACTCACTGCTACTATGCCTAGAAAATTTTAGATTAGTATTACTGTTATAGAAAAAATTACCCCATAAGAAAACAATAAGAGCAATCCATTTTGATGGTTTCCATCGTCGAAGAATAATATTCGATGGAAGTTCGAAAATAGCAAAGCCAATAAAAAATATTGACAAAGACCTATAATAAATTGTTGAATATTAAATAATATATATATACATTTCATTTACCATCGATATTGTTCAGGTGTAAGATGAACATCACGTTCAAGACCAGCTAATTTTGCATTAGCAATATTTGCACGATCAAGACATGATAGGAAATAAGTAATACTTAAATAAAAAGAAAATTATTATTTTATTATTGATTCATTTGATAATACATACGAAAGTAATGGAAGTATGTGTAAATCAAGTTTACGTATCAATATACGCTTTTCTTTATAATTGCAATCATTTCTATCAACGGTAACGACGGGCGAAGACATTTCCATACTTTATTCTTTTATATATTTTTACTCCTGTGATTGTTAAATATAGAAGAAAGAAAAATACTATGACTGTATATAAATAGTAGATTATGTTCTCTATGCACTTAATGACAAATTTTGAAATAGTGTTAAATAAATAGTCTATATCAATAGTTTAGAAGAGGATAAAAGTAAAGAATTTAAACTTTCATCTTATATATTTGTATAAGCTTGAATGCCTCAAGTAAATATGACAACAATGACTACATGTGTTAGCTCGTTTCGACGAGCGAGCGTGTATGTTTATTTATTAGAAAGAAAGACGACCTCCTTTGACCACAACGCACACATACATACATACATTACTAACACAAAGAAAAGAAAGATAACAATAGAACGCACAAAGAGAACAGATATATATATATATGTATATAAATAGAGCATCGAGGTATGACCGTTAACAATAACTTTTAATAAAAAATGTACTAGTCGCTTACTCTTATAATAATGTTGTTTAGTGAATATTATAATTTAACTATTTAGTTAATAACTGAACGAGAAAAAATTCTCAAAAGCTAGTTTCTTTTATTGAATTAAGGCATGGAAAAAAGTTTACATCAGTTTTTCTTTCTATCTATTTTCGCAACTATTTGAGCAATTTCAATCAATAAATAATAATTCTGAAGAGTACTTAAGAGTATACCCTATGATGCAAAAATAACGGTTTTAACTCAAGCGGTAAGATAGATATAGATATGATAATATCATTCAGGAATTTCCGATATCATTTTTTTATACGTTTCAAATTATAAAACTGTAAATTTTTTTCGGTAACGGAGTAAATGAGGAAAATATTCGTGCGACAGGGAGGATAATAATAGAAAAAAAATCAAATTATTATTGAAATTTATGATGTTGATCTTCAACTAATTCATTTACATCATATTGTTCAATCTGTCTCTTGTTTTCTTGATCATATAACCAAGTATCGTACTACTGATTATAAAGTATATAACCTTCAATCCTTCTGCTAGATATTTTCAGACGAATTGTAAGCATGAATATGAGAGAATAACAAAACCCGAACTCTTTTTCATCAACAATAATTATCACGTTTAATTACGAAATAGAGGTGAAACTGTTGTGACACATCGTAATAACCATACAACTGTAACGGCTTCAATCAAGTATTTTGAACAATTAAATCAATCATCGTCGGGTTTCTAGTACAACTCAATATATTGACTATATATTTTCAAAGATAAAATGAGAACGGTGACTCTTTTATTCTGAAGTATTAATTATTAATGATGATATTACATAAAATGAATTTTTCTAATCACTATACCTAGTTAGATAAGCTTCGAGAAAAGGGTGTTGTCGGAAAACATAGAAAAGGAAAACATAGAAAGAGAAAATTTTAGAAAAAAAAACAAAAGAGGAAAACGTAGAAACTTTAAAAGACTATAGTACAAAAAATTTAATTGTTTTCGTTTTTATTGGTCACTCCTGTAACCAGCATATATTAATTTTCATTCAACAAAGAAAATTTTCTCATATTATAAATATACATACAATTTAAATGGCAACAAACTTAAATTGATACAAAGTGAACATACTCGTTTTGAGCATATTTCACTTCAACTTGATGCTGGTGCATCTGCACCAAAACAATCAACAAAAACAAAAACTTTTCAGGCGCGATTTGATACTCTATGTAGCAGATCTTCCAAAAAGAAAATTAACGCGAAAGAGTTATTGATAAGCTTCTCACTGTTAATTGGAAAGAAAAAAAAAATAAGATTTTATTACATAATCAATTTTCTTATAACCTAATAAATATACTACTTAACATGCATAAAAAACTGATCAATCATTTCAACGTTTCCCTTTTCTATATTTTCCTCTTCTACCTTTTCCTTTTCTATTTTTTTTTCTACGTTTTCCTCTTTCTATGTTTTCCAGCAAGACCGAGAAAAGAATGACGTTTGTATGCGTAAAAACATCGTTTCTTTTAAGGCTTGTCTGACTCGATAGTGATGATTAAATATGAGAATGTGGACGTACACGACATTTTTATTCTCCTCCATACAATGTTTAGTTTCTTATCAACATTGTGCGTTCTTCTGTTTATGCGACGTGGCAAAAAAAAACTAACTTGATAATAAAACACATACATGTCCTACACTACTCATGCAACTGACGTAGCAATGACTATGATAAATTTCATCATTTTACATTCTCAATCTAATCATCGACTGTAGTTATTCTCTTCTGTTTTTTTACTTTTATTCTCCAGTATGTATCTTATAATTAGTTTAGTTTTCTTCTATTCAATACTTTTAAAAATTATATATAAAATTTTGCGGTGTAGTAGGAACAAATAGTTTCTCACAACTGAAAACTCTTTTCATCAACGATAGTTTTTTAGTTATTTATATCATTTTTCGAAATACTAATAACTTTTCACTTTTGTTATTAAGGTTACAATTTATTTAATAATGATCTATTCTAGTAGAATCGTTTTATTAACAGTATTTGAAATTTATATTTCTTTCAAAATAGCTAACTAGATTACGAATGTTACCTAAATCACATGATAGTCCATCTAGTTTTGAACCAAAACAACGACTTCTTGGTCCAGCAGAAAATGGTATCCTGAGGATCTCACAACAGTTTCAAGGCTATCAGAAAGTTGGTCAAGTTTTACACTTACAAGGTCCATACATTTCTTTAGAAACATTATCTTCAGCGATTAGTCGTCTGCAACGTCGTCATCCTTTTCTTCGAAGTCGTTTACAAATTAGTTCTACAGAACCAGACATTTATCTAATGGAGGAAGACGACACACTTTGTCTCAAGATTCTAGAAATACCACGAAAGAATGCTGATCATCTTCATTTCTGGCGTCAAGCATGGAAAGAAAGAGAGAAAGATACAATAGTTATTGGACAAGGACTTGCTGAATTTTGGCTTTTACAGGTATAGAAAAATTTCACTGATCATTTTTAGAATATATGTTGCACTTTTTAGGATGCAACCGATCAGAACATCGAGGATAGTCCAAGAGAAATAGTGGTCGTATGCGATCATAGCATTTGTGATGGTGTGTCTCTTAGTACTGTTGCACACGAACTCTTAATTGCTTTAAGTGATAATAGTATAAGTATAACAAGTCATTCGTTGAATTGGCCAATTACTATGGAAGCAGCTGCTCGTCAAAGTCTCTCAAGATGGGGAATACTAATCACATTTAGTAAACTTGCTCTTGCTTTCTTATATTGGAAAGCTACTAGTTCCCGACCTACTGCAAGACTACCATGGACAAATGTCGATTTCTCGTTAGATGACATGCATAAGTATTGTCATACTGAAACTCGTTATGGTATGTTGACTAAGGAAGAGACAAAAAAGCTGTTTGAAACGTGTCGACGAGAGGACGTAACAGTTACATCAGCTGTGAGCAGTGCCATTTTATGTATTACATCTACACTAGTGAGTGTTGATAATAATCAAATGACAAACTTGGTCTTCACAATTCCAGCTGATACTCGCAGAAGATGTATACCGCCAGTACCGAATCATGATCTCAGCTATCAAGTTTCAGGAGTCATGGGATTTACAATGGCTACAAGAGACACGCCAACAGAATCAAAAGGTATGTGGCAACTTGCAAAAACGTTCGGACATCATGTGAATAAATCAGTTAATGCCGGACATATTCTTGCACTGGCTATGGTTATGGAGAAAATCTATCAGAAGAACATAGGTCCAATTGATATTGCACACCTTCCGACTACTGTAATTACAAACTGGGGACTTTTGCCTTTCGATGAACAGTATGGCAAATGGAAAATTACAGGAATGACTCCTATCGGTAATTTGATCCGAGCAGTCATGCCAGTCTTTATGCTTCAAACTGTCAACGGAATATTGACGGTTGCTTGTGGTGGTGCTGTCCCTCTCATCTCTGAGACTATTATAGAGAATTTATGTAATGGTACAATGCATAACTTGCGTCAAATGATAGAAGACTAACGGTAATTATATGTTGTTAACAAATTATGATACAAATTTTTCTAAAACTATTTATTAAAGTGCATGCATGTGTGAAGAAAGTATTTCTTCAGTAAGAAAAATACGCAATTTCATTTGCTACACTTCATTGTAGTGATCATTAAGCAAACACTTAGTAATAACGCAGATAGAACTATAAATAGAATAAAACATTTATGATAGTTTTCAATAATAGTTTTAGAGAGATACAGTCAAATCCACTTATAAGAGCTCCGCTTTTGAGAGCCGTTTTTCCGTAATGCATTTTACATTGTGACAAAGTCCGCTTTTCAGAGCTTCGGATACGGGAGCGATCCGTTTATTAGAGCTGTTTGTTGGCGGTTTTTTACGATTTTAGCTCGCATAAAAGAGCTCGTCCATGTATATGATTATAAATATGCATTTATGTTTTTCGTCTTTTTCGTTCCTGTCATATATATGTGATGAATTTTTTCTCTCCTGTTATATATATGTGATGAATTTTTTGTTTCGTTCGTTCTTTTTTCTTTCATGTTGTTCTATATTGGATTTTTCTTCCATGTTCATCATCTATGGGATTTTCCATTCCATGGATTTTTCCTTTTACCTTCGTTCTATATATTGTTCGTCATTTTTTGTTGACTCATTACTTTTCAAAGAATGGCATCTACCAGTGGTCAACGTTGCACATTATCGATCGAACAAAAATTGGGGATCTTGGAAGCACTGAAATACAAAAAGGCAGAACATGTGGCTAAAGATTTCAACATCGGCTATTCTACGGTGAAGAGGATAAGGCAAAACGAAGAAGAAATTCGGAAAATAGTGATGAACAATGGCAACTTAAGTCGAAAACAAAAACGCGAAAGCCCTCATGAAGAAATCAGTGGATTTCTTTAAATAAATTTATGTATGTGTATGTACTTCTTGATAAATATTGACAATAATCAATTTTTACACTATTTTACATATAGTTCGCATTAAGAAGCGATCCGGCTATAAGAGCCACTTTTTGATTCCCCCACTGCGCTCTTATAAGCGGATTCGACTGTATGAGAAACATGATCTATACCTTTCAAATAGTGGTAGCTGAGAAAGAAACTAGCATACTTCATATGTAAAAACACTTCAATTAAGTAAGTAATATTTTGTTTTTCTTCATATACGTCGATGTATACATTACATAATTAATGATGCATATTGATTCATACCTCTCCTACATGTGCATATCAATTTCGATTCGTTGACTACAATAAACGAAACGAAGAAAAAAAACAACATTTATTATCAATGTATTTTTGATATAAGTGGTGTAATTTAGTTTTATTTCTAGATGAATAAAAAAAATAATACTATGAAACTTGTCTTTTCTGATCATCCAGTTCCTTCTTCTATAACAAAATCAATATTCTTAGCGGGACCATCGCCACGAGATAAAAATGTCATTGATTGGCGTCATGAAGCTGTCTCATATCTTAGTTCCGCGTCGATTAATTACGATGGAACTATTTTCATACCAGTTCCTGAAGGACGTTTTCACGGCACAGATCATGATTCTTCAACATGGACTTACGATAATCAAATTTCATGGGAATGTGAATGTCGTCATGTAGCAGATCTTATTGTCTTTTGGATTCCTCGATACATTGACGAAGGAATGGCAGGATTTACTACAAATGTAGAGTTTGGAGAGGATATTCACTCTGGAAAAATTGTATATGGTCGTCCTGAAAATGCTGAAAAGTGTCGTTATTTAGATACGCGTATGAAAGAATTAAAATTACCCGTGTTCACTTCATTGGCAAATACACTTCATCATGCTATATCTTTACTCGGCGCTGGTGCATACAGAAGCAACGGTGAAGTCTACGTACCACTATTTATCTGGAAAACACAACAATTTCAATCATGGTATTCTAATTTAAAATTAGTAGGAAATCGTTTGGAGAAAGCAAAAGTATTACATCATATGAAAATTAATAATTCTCAACAAGTCTTTTCCTATATACTTTGGAGTAATATTTGGATTGAAGCAGAGAAGCGATATAAAGAAAACGAATTTGTGTTCGCTCGTACGGATATTAGTACAATCTTAGCTTATTACAAAGATAATGACGATGATATTAAGATTGCTCTAATCAAAGAGTTTCGTAGTCCTGTTAATAATTCAAATGGCTTTGTCTATGAACTACCTGGTGGTAGTTCATTTGAACCGAATGTTGACCCACAATTAATTGCCAAACATGAACTTGAAGAAGAATGTGGTATAAATATTGACGATATGTCACGTTTCAAATATGTTGGACAACGACAATTAGCTGCTACTTTATCTTCACATCAAGCACAACTCTATACTATTGAGCTTACAAAAGAGGAATATGAACAAATGTTGGAGAACGAAAAAAGTAATAGAACATTTGGAGTGAGTGAAGATAGTGAGAAAACTTATCTAAAGATGATCAGTATTTCACAATTACAAGATAGTTTTCTTGATTTTTCAATGCTTGGAATGATCTATTATGCACTGTACTCGAATAAATAAGATCAATTGTTCATGAATTCAAATATACTTTTAAACATTCTAAACAAATGTTAAATTCTACTTTTTTTTCGAACATTGTAATGAGTATCTAATATTTTTATCTATCTATCAATATTTCCATTATTTTGCGTCCTCTAGTGTTTCACTGGACTGGACAACTACTAATATATGTCTACAGATTTAATCAATAAAGAAGAAAATACAAAATTGTATTGCGTAGAAAGTAAAGAGAGAAATTTTATTTAATATACTATTTACACGAGTGTTGTGAAATCTCTTATTTAAGAAAAAGATGTGCTGATAACATTGATTTTCGTTCACTAAATTAAATTCAGTATGTGAACGTGTATGATATTTTCACTTGCATTCAAAATTTCGATATACAGGAAACTAAAATAAATGGATTATGACAATATGTTCCTTGATATTCAATACTTTCCCTTCATCTGATCTCTTTAACGTAACCGAATACTTTTTAATTGGTTTTGCATGGTACCGTCTGTATCGAAGCAGAGTTTATGGCATTTAAGTTTGAAAACGTGCTACTTCGTTCAATAAAAAAATACGATACATCTCTGATAAATGACACCACCTCTTGGAGAATAATATCTTGTTATAGAAATCTTCTGTCATATTTGTTCCTATATACTAAAGAATATTTTTTTTCTTTGATAGTGCCGTTGACAGTTTCTCTCTGATTTGTTATTTTGATTGATATGATTGCTATACTAGTTTATTGATACGTAATGTATAGTTATATAACTATAATCATATTAATAATTGTAAAAAAAAGCTAAATTGTTTTTTACTGATAATTTATAGAGGTAAGAATTTATTGTTATTTATTATAAACAAGTAACGCTCGTCTGCGGACTCGCTCAGCTCTTCCTCGTAGAAATCGTATTCTACAATACTAAACTTTTTGCTTATACAGTTTGGAAAAAAAACACCAGATTTGTGTTCTTCCACCCTACTTACCCTTCGGTCACCCCTTATGACAATTTTTTTTTATAAAAATTGGTTCTCTCCCTAAAAAAGTGATCCATAAAATTATTTTATAAAACTAACCTCACATTCAAATTCTTAGCACTCGATTGCCCTTCGGTTAAACTTTTTTCAAAATTAATAATATCAATTATTAACTGATTATTAACGAATTAATTTTAATAAATCTATCTCAGATTCGAGTTCTCCATACTCGATTACCCTTTGGTCCAACTTTTCTGAAAATATTTCAGAAATTAAGAATATTAATTATTAACTAATTATTTATTGATTGTTAACTAAAAATAACCTCAGATTCAGATTCTCCACACTCGATTAACCTTCGGTGAAACTTTACTCGAACATATAATAATACTAATTATTAACTAGTTAGTTTTAATAAACTAACCTCAGATTCAAGTTCCCCGCCCTCGATTACCCCCCAGTCAAAGTTTTCCGGAAGTATCTGAAAAATTAAATTTAAATGTTTTTTTGACCCTGCGGACATACAAGGAAGCAAGCAAGCAGACAATTTATGTTTACTGGACTCTTCTCTATGAGAAAGAGAATAACAAATAACTTTTATTTTTAGAGAATATCTTTTCTCACCTCATTGTAAATTCTAATTGTGTCCGTTATATAAACTTACACTTTCGAACGAATTTTCTAAATCTATACTACTGATTCATATGGTTCAATTGAGATATGAAGTTAGCTAAATTTTGAGGAAAAAAAAGTTATTGTTATAAATAACAAATAACAAAAATCGTTATTATTATTTATAAAAGAATAATAACAATAACTTCTCATCATTACGGATAATTACCGCTAAAATTTTTTGATATTAATCTTTTATTTTCTTTCCTTTTTTAATTATACGTAGTATTTCGACAATTTTCTATAACAATTGTCATCTTCAGATTAATTTAATGTTTGTAAGTATTTTTTGTGATAGAATAATATAAATTGATATATTTAAGTAACATCAGGTTGTGTTGAACAATGAACGTTAAATAATAAATAAAAAATTGAAATCTTTTATTTAAATACATTAAACTAGTCTGAAGATGGTTATTGATATAGAAAATTGTCAAAATATTACGTATAATTAAAAAAAAGAAAGAAAATTAATAAGGGTATGAGTTATCGATTGATAATTAAGCCGAATGACTAAGTTTAATACTGTTTTCTCTCGAGTAGTCGATAATAAACTGATTCAGTGCGTGTTATGGTATCAAAGATTCGTTTCTATTTCCTTAGAAAATGTGAATTTTTTTTGCTGATACGTTGAGAATTGAATATTGTCGTTTTCTCTCGAAAGTTTGATAAATTATCTCAACAGCGAATACATAAAGATGCATCTTGAACTTCTTATTGAAATATAATTCTTCCAAGAGAAACTTTTATCAAAATTTCGTTTTTTCCTTGGAAATCAAACATCTAAAAATATATTATAAAGAATTTATTTCTTCCTTTTTTTTTCTTTGTTATCGAATATTTGCTGTACATTTATTATTGAATCGAAATAAAAAATAAATGATCTCTCATCTAAAGACACGTATATTCTATTGTAATAAAACTTTCTTCGTATATTTTTATTCAGTAATAAAATGAATATACATCATAATGCGATAAAGAAAAAGGACATGATAAAGAAAGAATTTTGTTTTGAGCTATAAACTGATTTAATGCGTATTTTTTTATTATTTATGATATTGTTTTGAATCTTATGTTTTACATGAAATAAATAATGGCAGTAAAAATAAATGATGTTCGTAATAAGAATTCTTAAAAAGTGAATATCGAAAAATCTAATTACATGTCTCAATTAGATCTCTATCAGAATTGAATAATTGAATTAATTTTTTAAATATATTCTATGACTCTAAAATATTGTAAATTACGAAATAATCATTGAGATATGCTTCTATGTTAATTAAGACCTTTATTACTTTTTTAGATGTATGAAGAATAATTGACCTACAGAAGATTTTTATAAAATACAGTTACTGATTCTATAAAATATATGTAAAAAAAAATTACCAATAATTTCAGAGTAATAGATAAAAGTATTTTGTTTTTCATCTTTCATTCACATTTACGACCAGTATACATTTTTTATATTTATAACTTGAATATCTGATTATTATGTCAATCTTTAATGAAAAAAACTTTCTTTTTTACTGAATAATACTTTCGAAAATATATGAAACAGAAGTAATAAATTCCGATGAAAATAAAGATAACTATTCTATGTGCTGTATTTTCATCATACGTGATCATTTTTTATCACCAAAATAAGCCTTCGTTGACTAATAAAATCATAGAACTCTAATAAACTTAAGTGATTTATAGGTTTTTTTGAACTATTTTGTCCTTCGTTTATGTCATCGCGATTAATCATTAAGGGGATCAGTAGATCGAACTCTTATCAAACTTTAAAATGTAATTTAATCATCTACTTTATGATTATAAGGACAAAAGATTTATAACTGAAATCATGATATTATTTACGACTACCCACGTTCCTCTGTTATCTGAAGTACTACTGAGATCAGTATAAATACTCGTGCATTTTAGCTATTAGATCAGTTAAGTTTGAAAACGAATACAACAACAAGATGACATCTGCAAGTTTCTTTGCCATCTTTGCCTTAATTGGTATTATCAGTGGTGCTCCAAGTAGTTCTGGTTCAGGCAATGTTGTCTATGAAGTACCAATACCTCGTGGACAAACCAAACAAGATTACTTCAAATCGGTTGCTGATTATTGGACACCTGAACGTATGGCCTCAGCTATACCAATGCATCCAATTCTTACTACCAAGGAAGTAACTCCTTTTGTGAATGTTGATGAAAACCGTGGAGTTGAACGTGTCTTGACAGAAGGTGTTGAAGCTCCTAATGCACGTGCAGAAAATGATCCTAGTGCTGCTGGTCGAATTTTCTTTTCAATGAACAAACTTAACTATGTTTGTTCTGGTTCATGCACAACTGCCAATAACCGCGCATCAGTAATTACAGCAGGTCATTGCGTCTTTAATAACACAGGTAAAATATGGGCTGAAAATTTGGTATATGTACCTAATTATCATCAAACTGCGGCTCCACATGGCAAATTTGTTGCCCGTAAAATGGCAACAAAACAGTTATGGAAAGACAAAGGTGATTACAATCACGATGTCGCAATAGTAACAATGAACGCCAATGACGAAGGTACACTTCTTCAAGATAAGGCAGGTTCTTTTGGTATAGTACTCGATGCCGCTAAAGCCGGAGCTACAAATTGTTATGGTTTCCCAATGAATATTGGTAGTGGCGAGTTCATGAGCAATTGTATTGGTAACACAAGAGCTGCAAGTATTCTCTTTTTATCCAGTTTCAAGGGTATCCAAATACAATGTGGTATGGGTGGTGGTGCATCTGGAGGTCCATGGCTTCGTAATTATAACAGCGGTACTAAAATAGGTCACCAATGTTCATTAACAAGCTTTGGACATTCCTTTGCACCTGGCTATGTTAATGGTCCAGCTTTCACTCACGACAATATTGGTTCACTCCATGCAGAAACCCAAAATGCATAATTCTTTTTTTTTCTGCTTTTTAAAATTATGCTTTATCCAAAAAATTATGCTTTATCAATAAATGACACGACCTAACAGGTCTAATTATAAACGTAACCACGAGATTTTTTAAATATATATAAAGAAAGATATTTATTTTTGTGAAGCTCATTTGAAAACATCAAAGTTTTTGAATATATCATGCATAAATCAATAAATATTGTTTTCAGTAAATGTATTCATCTTATTTTTGTTCTTAACAAAAGAATATCTCAAGATAACTATCATAAACATGGTAGAAATGCGTTGTAAATAGTTATTATCAATTATTATTAGGAATACTAACATCACTATTATATTGAACAGGACGGATAGATCTTCTGATCAATAGAATGAATAGTCGAATTCTTCTATGAGATTAATTTTTCATCATATGAATCCCTTATAGTCAAATAAACATGAAGGTAGTCAGTGCTGAATTTAACATAAGAATAATTTCATAAACATATTCTATCTCAAATACATTTATTAAAAAAAAAGTCGAATATATGAACAATAAGTTTGAAATGTATTATTACCTCAATATAGTATCCTCTGATTTTTAACTTTTTTCATTTGGTCATTCTGATATTGAGAGAATAGCAATAATGTTTTATACAATAAAAGTGAATGAATTAGAAAGGTAAAATAGTCAAATGTTGAAAAATACATACCATCATTTTAGTATATGAAAATATTTTACGATTAAATATAACAATTCAGATATTATCGAAGAGATTTGAAAGAAGACGATTATACTCGGAGAAAAAGTCGTAAATAATTTCATCCACGTGTATTTATGATCTCTATAAAATATCGAAAAAAGAAGAAACGATAAAAATTTAGTTATTTAAAAAAAGTAAGATAAATGTGTAATAAATATTTAAATATATTCTTAAATAGGAAAAAAAAATCATAAATTTTATACAAAAATAACAAACGATTATTGTATGGAAGATTTGGTTTCTATTTTTCTTTCCATATAATATGTGTTTGATAATGTTCGATAGAAATTTACTAAGAATAAATAATAGTTGTATTGAATATCGATGTGCATAATATTATTTAATAAAATATCGCTGAAGGGAAATATTCTTAATTTTTGAATTGTTAATAAAATCCATCAATAAAAAGTAGTGAATGTAGGATTGAAATTATCATCAACTATTATTGGATATAACTCCAGTCTTTATTTATTATTTCTATTGAATGCATCAATGCTTATGAATTCATCTTATTGTTCACGAATGTTCGAAACTTGAATTTTTTCTATCTCATTATTAAGTAGTAGATTTTTATTCCGATGATTTTAATAAAAAATAGTCCGAACACACAGCTAAGTCATGTGCGTAGAATAAAATCATGTTAATAATCCGGCTAACATAGTATCGAACCGATTAAATCACTTTTCTGTATAAATTCAGGTATTATCTTTGAAGATAAACATATGAATGAATCTATCCTTTACTATTGTGAAGTATATGCTAGAAATAATAATGGAAAAATAAAAAATGATACAGTCAAACAGTAATAACGCCGTATATATATATATAGGACTCTTTTTTTGTATTATACATCTAATCATGGTAGTCAATAGTCTATATTGAACAAATTCTATCCAAGATGAAGTATTGTTGTCTATACACATCCTCTTCTACAATGAAGATATTAATTCAATTATTGAAAATGATAATGATCTTTTTACTTTTACTAACCATATTCGAGATGAAATTTTTTTGAATATATAAGAATAGTATAAATTGGATTTAATTCTAAGTAAAACGAAATTAAATTCTATAAAAATCATTTTTTGATCTTTTCAATTAACTTAATTTTGATTCGCATTGCAATAAGATTAGTTTGATGCATAAGAATATCGGTAGTTATACTTGAGAGTTCATTCATTTTAAGAATTTATCATTGACAAAATATTTCAGTTATTAATAATAAAAGTAAATATAATTTGTATTTATTTTTTGTTTTTAAATAAGAAATAGATAGACTTTTCTTAGACTGTTAAAAATAGAATAAAGATTAAAAGAAAATATTGTTTTCTTCTCATTTTCAGATGTGTTTTTGATATTTTAGCTTATTAAGCTTTTCGAATATATATATTGATTAATGAGTTTATACTTACTGTAAATATATCGAAAAACAAAAGAAAAAAATTGTATCTATGAAAATAAATGACGTGTTATACCAATGCTGTATTTACCTTTATCTTTTTCTATCATACACTAGATGATAGAAAAAGAAAATTAATCAAACTTGACACTTTATTTTTCTTTCTCTCGATTATCTAGATTTAATATTAATAACGATCATAGAACACATTAATCGATGAATATTTTGTTGATTTTGATGGGCTAAAATGTTCGTTTATTACGCATTATACATATATACATATATATTCAGTACAAGCTAATGAATCATGAAATACACTCGTAGTTCGATGTATATGTGTATATATAGATGGTTATAATCTGTTTACAGGTAAGATAAATACATAATGTTGCTTATTTGGATATATCTATTTTCAATCTTCCATTTATGTACGTTCGTTGACTCAGTTGTACAATGTGAACAAAAGAACGTAACCGTACAAGTACCAGACTTGTTGTTACCTAGTATAACTACTACAGAATCACTCGCTACATGGTTTTATTGGAAACAAGGTACTCAACTCAATACAAATACGATAGTACATTTGACGATTCATGGATATACATACGATCATACATATTGGGCATTTCCTTATCAATCACCAAAATACTCTTATGTTGATTATGTCATTGAAAATAGCAATGGTAGTATTGTTGTCGTAAACATCGATCGAATTGGAATTGGTTTAAGTTCAAAACCGGATGCAATAGACGTTACAGTCGATTCAAATGCTAACGTTATTTCTCAATTAACAACGTATATACATAATGGTGCATATAAAGATATTCAATTCACAAATATTATCCTTGTTAGTCATTCATTAGGAACATTGATTGCATGGACAGTTGCTTCTCAGACTTCTTATAATCAATATATTCGTGGTATAATTGCAACAGGTTGGTTACATGTACCAAACCCAGTGGGAACAGCTGCTGTTGTTGCTTCGATCTATCCTGCACAATTAGATCCAGTAACTAGTCAGCAATCGGTACCACCCTTATATGTCACAACAAATCCAGCGAATAATACACGACAAAATATATTTTATAATATAAATGATGCTGATCCAAATGTAATTCAATTAGATGAACAAACAAAACATACTGGAACAGTAGGCGAACTTGCAACATTAGGCCTGGCTATTCTACCGACTGTTACGTTATCGATACCATCTAATATTCCTGTCTTAGTCGTCATGGGACAATATGATATAATATTTTGTGCTCCATTAGCACTTTCATGTGATACCTCATTAATTATAAAACTGAGAGAAAGCTCTAGCTATCTATCCACAATAGACACTTTCGTTCTACTAAACTCCGGTCACGATATTAATTTACATTTGAACGCACAATACTGGTATGAAAAAGCATTGAACTGGACACTACAACACTTTTAAAAAATAATCGTAGACTTTTGAAAATAATATATATATATATATTCTCTTTTATTATACTCAAGCCTTTTTTTTCTATATTATCATTATATCGAGCTAAAAAACTTTTGATCAGCACCTTTTGTTAACATGTATTTTCTTTTTGTAATATGAATTAACTAAAAAAAAATGACTAAATATCATCAATAAATCTATTATTAAATCAATGCTTTATTTTTGAATAAAAAATAATAAAGAATTAAGGACATAACGGTGCTTCTGGTTGAATGATTAGACGTGTGTTTATTGGAAAGGAAAGATAATCGCCAACTTTAAGAGTATCACGTTTCTGTTCATTCTGATATATCAATGGTCTAGAACTATCGACATTTAATTCACGTACATTTAGATGATACATTGAATTCTCTATTGTCAAGTCAAGTATAGCACCATAATACTTAAGACCATGAAAGATAAGACCCGTAGATTGATTAGGTAAACGAGCTGGTGGCATTATTTCGAGTTCTTTCATAGTTAGACGAATACCACCATATCCATAGAGAACTGCTTGTAAGAAACCACCAGCACCTGTAATAAAATTGACAGCACCAACAACACCCGCTCGTGCTTCAGTCCATACCTAAAATATAGAATTAAGATGAGAAAAAGAGAAACATACGTAACTCACATTGAATGGTTGTCGAACGTAAGTTTCGTAAGATTGTCGAAAAAGTTTTTCTGCAGATTCAAAATCTTCTAGCTCAAGAAAGCCAATTGCATGCATCGACCAAGTCATTGCTGGTCCATCATCACGAGTAATTGCTTCATAGGTTAATAAATCATTTTTTCGTACTTCTTTAGTCATTGGCCACATTAAAGGAAAGCCAAGAAGGACAACATCTGCTTGTTTTATCGTGCTATTCTCTAAATAAACAATGTGACAATAATAAAGTAATTATGATATTCTAAGAAAGAAAATATTTGTTTCCTTACTGGGATTGAAACCTTCATATTCTAAATGAATTTGAGCAATGTTATCGAAAGGAAAGTGGAGATTATTGCTTATATTAAGCCATTTTTGTGGTACTGGTTTATCAGTTATACAGCTGACTAAATCTGCAAGTTGAATAGAGAAAGAAGCAACGGCATTAGTAAATACTGAATTATCTTTAAATGGTTGTGCATCTTCATCAGGTGGTAATACCGCTGAAGAAAAGAAATTTTTATATATTATATCAGTGATCAAATGTAAAATAATTTACTTAAAATGTCGTATTGATCTCTATTAGGGTTGTATGTTACTCTTGATGCCCAAAATCGTGCTGTTTCATAGATGAGATCACCGCCCCTTTCTGATTTTAACCAATTTTGATCGCCTGTTGCAGCAACGTATTGTCTTGCAGCAAAAGCAATATCACCGGTGATGTGCATTTGATAAAGACGAACTTCTGGACAACAATCTGGAGTTACATCAACACCTGTACGAGCACTTTCCCAAGGAAATCTAAAATTAGATATGAGAAAGAAAAATCAAGGATTATGATTTTTTACCTCCATCCTTCATATCCAAAGAGAGGAGCATTGTCAGCGGCTGCTTCACGCAAACCAATGCGATATGAAAGTATCTCTTTGGCCAATCTAAAGATAAAAAAAATTATTACTATTGTAAAAATGTATCGTTTTTTTTCTATCGAAATTTTCGAATAAATTTATTCAATAACTAATACTCACGTAGGATAAAAGAGAAGAACAGATGGATACATCCAAGTTTCTGTATCCCAAAACGAATGACCACCATAATCTTCACCTAAAAGACCACCACGAGATAGAGTACCTGGACTAAGACCATAGAATTGTTTGGGTTCACTTTTTGTTGATAGTGGTGGTAGTGAACTAAGAAGATAATAATAAGCAGAATTAATTTGTCGTTGTAGTTCAACATCATCGCGAACTTCAATACGTCCATTAGACCAAACTTTCTTCCAAAGATCCGCATGAGCTGACCATAATTGATCAGGTTGTCGTTCAGTTGATGCTATTGATGAGAAAAATAAAAATTCTCTTGTTAAATCTTACGAAGACGCTCTATAACAAAATATAATCATTAAGATAGCCTACTTAACTATATACTTTTAGAATTAAAAATCGAGTTGTCAAGAATAAACTTATGACTACTTTTACGTTTAATTAGACGATAGACTTTTAATCTTGTTTTACCATAATCAAAACTTCGTTTGGCTCTAGCTTGATCTGTATCGAACGAAGTAACGAAGAGATAGGTTCGAGCAGATTCTTCTGCATCAAGTTGAAGACCATTGAAGGGTAACGGTGTGTAGTATATAAATAAGGGTAATACATCTTGTTGATATTGACTATTTTCTACTTCAAGTGTCTTTCCGGATAAAAATCTTTAAATAAAATTAAATAAACTCATGTTGAATCAATACACAATACTTACACATGCTTATCATCGCGAGACACAACATCAAATTTGAAATCAGCACTAGTCAATGTTTCAGTTACTTCGACAGGTACAACAATTGTTTGTTCTATAATAATAGAGTAAGATAAGAAGAAGGACTATATTATTTCAAAGAACAAACTTTCGGAAGTTAATCGTGTAATTGTTACATGAGTGAGAAGTAATTCCGTGTACTCCTGTGAGGCAAAAATACGACGTTCAATTCGAACTATATCATCCTCAAATCGTTCAGTAAATGTACCTGGAGATACATCAGTATTTTAGATATTCTTCATTCTATATTAAAATTCTCACCTGTTTCAACATCAAGTGAATAGGATGCTGATACTCGTTTTGTATTGAATTGCCAATTGTGTGTACTTGGAATACGAGCTCTATGACTTGTACCTATTTCAAATATACAAAAGTATAACTCTTAATAAAATATTATTATTAATAAACCATTTTCTCCGTTATAGAGTCCATTCATATAGATAAAATCACTAAAGACAACTGTAGCAATATGACCATTACCCACATATGGCATAATACGATAATCGATGGAAGTACCATTCGAAGGTAATCTACATATAATCATTATTTAAACAAAGACAATGCGAATAATTACTTACTTATCCGTAGTAAAAACTGTGGTTGAAATGGGTGAATTGGTCGTAGTAAAAACTGTGGTGGAAACGGGTGAATTGGTCGTAGTAAAAACTGTGGTGGAAACGGGTGAATCGGTCGTTTTCTTACGAGTTAGAATAAAAACAGGAATGAGAACAGCGGCGAGAATTACTATGATAATAAGTATAACAACTGCTGCAATTAATATCTTCTGCCGTTTGGTATATGGTCGATTAGTACATGGATTAATATTACAATCGCATGCACATAGTTGTTGAAAAAATGTTCCTTCTTTATTTTTATTCAATGACATTGCACTCTATACAATGTATTTTGTTCTATTGAATTGTTAACGGATCTTTTATAACGAGTTATATACCTAACAGAAGGCTTTTACATTTTTATTACTCTTTCACTTTATCTTTCTTTCGTTTTTATAGAAGATGGTAAAGAGAGAGAAAAAATCAAGAAATAATATACATAGATAAATATATAATCGAAAGGAATGCGGTGTGTTTGACAATACCATAAACGACTATTTTATTTGATTGAAAAAGAAATCAAGATGTATGCTTCTACCTATATTATACTTTCTGCTCATATTGTAAAAATTATCGTCAGAAAGGTATATTATTCAGCAAGAAAAAAATTTAATGTTCTCGAGCTCATATATACGAATCATTTCCGGGCAATGAGGATTACCAAAAAATAGAATGATAGAATATATAAAAAGTCTAATAATCTTTGTATTAAATATTTGAAGAAAATTTTATTATCGATGCATAATGAATGAATATAAATATTGTCTCGAATTTTATGTATCATCATCATATTCTAAAGATTATTACATGATAGGTTCATTTATTTTCTTATATATTTTCGAGTAAGAAAGTAATAAAATATATTCTGTTCTAATTCCATCACAAATCTTAATTCATTGATTTTTTTTCAAGGAATTAATACCACGTGTAAGAAAAAAATAAAGTGTACCATGTTGCTCTGCAGGTTTTAGCTTATTATCCATGGCACCTACTACCATATTATCATTGACATAACGAAAATGATCGATAATAGGGTAATTATCATATACCATTGCAGTTGATACTTTACCACGAAATTTAATTTCACGTAACTAAACAACGAATTTATAAAATAATGAAACAAAAAAGTCATTTGAATTAGATGTAAAAATAGTTCACCTGTGCATTACCATATTCTTTGAGCCAAACACGTTTGCCATCTTGATCATATATCATTACTGTGTCTACATCATTTTCTGACTTGAATGTTTCACCTGCCCAATTCATTTTCTTTAACATTTCAATACCTGAATGACCAGTATCAAAACATCCACCTTCCCATTCGCCACCATCTTTGCATAAGAAACTAGGCTCAATTGATTTTAACTGATCATAGAGTTGTGTAACAGTGTCGGCATCGATTTTTCCGTTCTGTTGAGTGAGTTTTAAGAATTCTTCTTCGGGATTGCTACAAATATAATTATACATTAAAGAAATTTTATATAAACATACCTTGACATATTAACACGTGCAAAATTTATCTATAAATTAACGTAGAATTGTAAATAATGTTTACTATTTCATGTAACAAATAGTTGCTGTTATATTATCTACTCATTCTACAATAAAAATATATGGAAGACGAGATAGAATCTTAATACTAATTCACCAATTACATTGAGTTGTGTCGTAATTCAACTAAACTGATTCAGATGTACATGTGTGCAGAACGAAAAGGTGAATAATATATTTTATTTTTGACTTGATCCAACATGTGATTTGCGTTATCCATAGACATACATAATTACCTAAAAGAAAACCTCCTCTTTAAACATTAGAAATATATTTTAACTGGCCACATGCGATCAATTACCTCATCGTTAGGAAGAAATCTTTGTTGTCAAGCTTGTCTCTGTTTATATATTGTTCTCATTTCTTTCTTTCATTGAAAAAAACTTAAATCTATATTACTAATTTAATTGAGTCGTAAATATAATTCTAGTATTGATATTCTCTTTTTTTATTTTTCTCTTAGTTATATGATATTATATAACAAGCCAGATTTTTATATTTAAGTATATTTCAATATGATTTTATGTTTATTTATGAATTGTATTTTTTTAAAATCTACTAACGATATTATTTTTATTAAATTATTATATATCTTTTTTCTCTAATTCTTCACAATTCTCATTGTTTTTAAAAAGAGAAATGATTATTTTATAGTCAAACATACTTTACAGGCGTTTTTTTAAGCAAGAGGAATGATAAAAGTATACATGCGTTCGATCATTATTCTATTCTTTATATTCTCTAAGATAAAAGTAAAGGACGATATCTTTCAAGTAAGATAAAAGTATGTCCAGGGTCATTTTAAAATAAATAAGAATTTATTTCTAACCTACAAAGATATATTCTTTTATTCATTTTTCGTTGTCTACAAGCAATATCAATTACAATGATAAAAATAAATACAATTAACTTAAAAATCTTTTTCTTTTATTAATTATTATATCAAAACTAATGTAAAATAAAAAAAAAACGAAATATTTTCTATTATAAATTTTCGTACACATATATATGATAAACAAAATATGTATTGCAACCGATCATTAAGTACACATGTGAAGGTACGGTAGAAAAAAAAATTAAACAGCAAGCAAACTATATATATACATATACATTCGATAGTACGAACGAAGAAGTGAGGTGTGCATACGTGAAGAACGAAAAGTAATAATAAGCAAGTCACATGGCTGATGAATATGATGCAACAACACTCGATGGTTATATAGATGATGATTTAGCATTAATTAAAAATACAGATGTATGGGAAGTATATAAACATGGTGCACATCATAATGATGATATATGTTATGTTTATAAAACTCCAGATGATCCTATTTGGTGGATTAAATTGGTAGCATATATAGATGATGGTTCATTAGCAAATATTGATGATTTACTTGATGCTAGTTTACAACAACGTCATTCTGAATGGCATGCACTTTATTTGGATGGTAGAATTGTTCGTAAGAATGATGATGGTCGTAGTGAAATTTGTTATTTTCAGTAGGATTTAATTTAAAAATTTTTATTTTGTACTTTTTTTCTTCTTCTTGAAGATATGCATCACCATCAATACTAACTTCTGGTCGTGATATGTGTTACATTAAAGTACGACGTAATCTTGACAATGGATTTATTCTTAGTTATCGATCAGTCGACATACCCGAAGCAATTGATTCAAGTGGTAAATTTGTACGAGCAACGTATAAAGGTGCACATCTTATTGAAACAAGTAAAGATGCACCTGGTTTTCTTTATACATATTTACAATATGCGGATCCAGGTGGTAGTATTCCAAAAGTATTAGTTAATCGACCTCAATGTGATATTATTCTTAATGAAATTGACGGTATTCGACGTGCTTTAAAAAATTCAATACATTCTAAATAATAAAATCTTAAAATTTATATTTGAAATCTTTTTTGTGTTGAATTAATACACAAGAGAATATTATCATTCTTTCAATGCTATTAGTTTTAGTTTTTACTTTGAATTAAATTTCACATCGCGTTATTAACTAGAAGTACAGATATGCAACGGAACTCTTTCGAATAAATCAAATTAAACAATGGCTGATAGTTTCTTAATATTACGTTTATGATATTTATATTATTAAAATATCTCGATATATTCTTCTCATTATTAACATAAATTCTATTTTGCTTTTTATCTATTTCAACAAATTGTATATTACAGTTTACGAATTGCTATATAGAACAGATCGTAAATAACAGTATAATAAAAAGTTTTGTTATCTCCACTATGATTTAATCAAATGAACCGATTTTTTTTATACTGATAATGTAAGTTAACTTGATGAAAAGAATTTGAATTGTTGTTAAACAAGAAAAATCCATTATGTAGATAATTTTCAATTGTTACCTGAGAGAATGAGAAGAAGAAATGAAA